GGACAGCTCTGTGACGAATCAGTCTTTATACGCGACAGAGGATGATCTGAACAGCCCTGTGACGAATCAATCGTTATACCCGACCGAGGATGATCTGGACAGCTATGGGACGAATCAGTCTTTATACGCGACAGAGGATGATCTGAACATCCGTGACGAATCAGTCTTTATACGCGACAGAGGATGATCTGAACAGCCCTGTGACGAATCAGTCGTTATACCCGACCGAGGATGATCTGAACAGCCCTGTGACGAATCAGTCGGTATACCCGACGGAGGATGATCTGGACAGCTCTGGGACGAATCAGTAGTTATACCAGACCGAGGATGATCTGAACAGCCCTGTGGCGAATCAGTCATTATACCCGACCGAGGATGACTTGAACAGCTCTGTGACGAATCAGTCTTTATACGCGACAGAGGATGATCTGAACAGCCCTGTGACGAATCAATCGTTATACCCGACCGAGGATGATCTGGACAGCTATGGGACGAATCAGTCTTTATACGCGACAGAGGATGATCTGAACATCCGTGACGAATCAGTCTTTATACGCGACAGAGGATGATCTGAACAGCCCTGTGACGAATCAGTCGTTATACCCGACCGAGGATGATCTGAACAGCCCTGTGACGAATCAGTCGGTATACCCGACGGAGGATGATCTGGACAGCTCTGGGACGAATCAGTAGTTATACCAGACCGAGGATGATCTGAACAGCCCTGTGGCGAATCAGTCATTATACCCGACCGAGGATGACTTGAACAGCTCTGGGACGAATCAGTCGTTACACCCGACCGAGGATGATCTGAACAGCCCTGTGACGAATCAGTCGTTATACCCGACCGAGGATGATCTGAACAGCCCTGTGACGAATCAGTCGTTATACCCGACAGAGGATGATCTGGACAGCTCTGGCACGAATCAGTCTTTATACGCGACAGAGGATGATCTGAACAGCCCTGTGACGAATCAGTCTTTATACGCGACAGAGGATGATCTGAACAGCCCTGTGACGAATCAGTCGTTATACCCGACCGAGGATGATCTGAACAGCCCTGTGACGAATCAGTCGGTATACCCGACGGAGGATGATCTGGACAGCTCTGGGACGAATCAGTAGTTATACCAGACCGAGGATGATCTGAACAGCCCTGTGGCGAATCAGTCATTATACCCGACCGAGGATGACCTGAACAGCTCTGGAACGAATCAGTCGTTACACCCGACCGCGGATGATCTGAACAGCCCTGTGACGAATCAGTCTTTATACGCGACAGAGGATGATCTGAACAGCCCTGTGACGAATCAGTCGTTATACCCGACCGAGGATTATCTGGACAGCTCTGGGACGAATCAGTCGTTATACCAGACCGAGGATGATCTGAAGAGTAAAAAAATAACGGTAAAAATTATGAATTGATTGCTGAAAATGGGTGATGACACCAGATGTTCGAGAAAAGGATAGGTATGTCCTGCCATAAGACTTGCATCAAGCAGAAATATAACTGCATAAGGGCACCCAATTTTGTGCATTACTCCATAACATGTATATACACAGTCTAGGTGCTGAAGAAAATTCATATAGACTGTATGACCTTATATAGATACATGAATGTATATAGTGTTATAATACAGGATCTCTCTCTCCCCTCTCTCACTAAATATATACTTTTACCCCCCCCCCCCCCCCCTCTCTCTCTCTCTCTCTCTCTCTCTCTCTATATATATATATATATATATATATATGTGTGTGTGTGAGTGTGTGTGTGTGGTGTGTGTGTAGCATCGCATATATGAATGTAACCTATAGTATCATACGTCAGGGCTATACAGCATAAAGGAGTAGTGTATTGCCTATATATTTATATGTTTCAGTTTTATCTGTACACTAGTGAATTTCACCTCTATATATATATACGTACGTAGTGTCACACTACAGGCGAAACATAATAGATGTATGCATGTGTGTGTATTGTTACAATACATGCAACATGAATTCTAGCTACAGTGTTACACTTTACCTATGAACCATTGTTTCAACCCAGTAGGAAGGAAGCTATCACTTCCAGAACAATAACTATTGAAGCGTTTGTTCTTTTGTGCACATAATCAGAATATCCTGGTCATAACCTGCTGTCTCACGTGGGGTTGGGACGCAAGTCCAGGTGCAGTCTAGCCCTCACGGGGGGACATGTCATGGACTGTCCTGCCAATAGCATAAAAGTGTATAATTTTCCAAATGAGAAATTAGAAGGACTACCGCAACGAAACCCACCTTTCCTCTCTTATAAACTCATTTATGGATACAACCCCTGCGATGAAACACACGTTCGGTTATTATTTAGGAAATTATCATTGGATGATGTCAATTTCATAAATAACCGTGGTCGTCATTAATAGTGCGTGCGTGGTGGAGAGTTGAACGACGTGATCGTGAAGGTAGAGATTCGAATGGCTTGAAAAATAGTCCACTATAACCCTAATCAAATGCATTCATCCTAAAGGTAATTTATGTCGCAGAATTAATTCCATAAAACTGTTTCATCTCTGTTTGAAACAAAATTTGCACAATCCCAGGATAAACGAAAGTGTACATTAATTGCAAGAGTCTGTCTGGATTATCTCACTATACTGTCGTGGAAAAAATGTATTGTTTCATCGGGGACCAATATGTTAAGAGCGTGTAGAAATATATGTTTAGATATAATTGTCAAATGTCCTGTGTGCGTACATATCAGGTCATTAGATGAACCATGGTCAATATTTTATATTTCACGTATGGACAGCTATACCACAGCCATGACGGAATTATGTTCATGTTAATATAAAGGGACATACAAAACTATTCCATTATTAAAATCAAACGACATATCGGTAAACATGCTTTCAAATCAATGTAAAGACACACACACAAAGTCCATTCATATAAATGTAAGGAAACATAAGATGTAAATAAAAATCAAAGGATATTTCTATAATGTTAACACCGATACTGCGTGCATGTATATACTGCGAGTTGTCTACCTTGGTATCTCCAGCCCATACTCAAACAGTTTCAATATTCATTTAGCGTTTCAACGATTTAATAATTCATTACAAATATTTTAATATATTTGTTTCGTTTTAATCGAGATCTTGATTTTTTAATATGTTTTAGCGAGGACATTCACCTGAGCTAGAATTTGAAACAAATTCCACACCGACAGACCTTAATTCTCTTTGACTGCTCCGTCTTTCACGACTACACCCACTGTTCGGGCTTCTCCGTGAATAAACAGACACTTAACACTGGCATCAGTCATGGCAACAACAAATTCTTCTGAATAAAAAGTCCATTATCCCCAGCATTAATTTCACTGTTATGTTCGTGCAATAGAGCACTGCATTTCAAATAGATTAATTCGCCAAACTTCTCCAAAAACTCCCTTCAAGAATCGCAACATGATCACATTCAGTTTTTACACGATTCTTTTGTGCGAGTCCCGTTTCCCGTCCTGGGTAGCCTTCGCCACCCCCGAGACAGAGAAAGGGGGGTGACAGAGCGGCAGATGGCCACACAGGCTCAGCTCCGCACACGGTTCGGGTATTTACCGGGGGTGAGCGGTCGGGGCAGGTTTGAAACTACGACTGTGCACGGTGCACGAACAAACCACACAAATAGCTGGAGCAATTACTTTGATCATGTTTAAAGGGAAGAAAATGGTTGAAACTCAAGCCCCACCTTGCAACACTTCAGGTGAATTTGCCGCCAGATGGGGTGGACAAACTCGCTATTGTATAGAGTCATTGGAGGCTAATAGTCGTATCGGGGTGCTCCGGCGCTGTCAAGATCATCTAGCGCGCCATCTCAGTCATGCCTCGTAATTACATTAGAATTGCAAATGTCCTCAATTCACTTCACATACTGCTACGATATGTTGTTTTTCTTCAATGAAATGTCATATATTTCTATACTTACAAAAACCGCACCAAATGTTAACCATTTTAGTTAAGTTAATTAAGTTACTGGGTTTTTATGCCATGTGGCCATTCTAAATCTCTGATACCTTTATAGAATTTTATTTAATATCCAGGTAACCAAATGAAGATAATTTAATTCAGACCCTCTTTTCATATCTTTTGAACAGTTGCTGTAATTTTTCACCAATTTTCAATCATGTAATTTATAATCTTCGCATGGCTAAGCATGACGGTACAATATAGAAACGATTTTCCCTTGGCGAGTGCAAAGTGTAAAAGTTAATTTCATAAAACCGCAACCGCCCCTACCGTTACAAAGCAAACACAATATTACGGTACTGTCAGACGCAGTAATTACATTTCTTAATAATTCCGTTATTATCCATAATGCACGTATGCGCACATGCAAAAATGTCTAATTCATATCCATGGTGCATCCGAGTGTGACCAAAAACTCAATGTTCCAGTCTGCGCAGGCATGGCTCGTGGTTTTGGCGGGTTTGACAGTCGTGCGCCGCTCGGAGGTACATGTATGCAGGCCAGTTTCACTATGTACAGTGCCGCAAACTCGCGAAGCTCCGATAACAAGTGCAGATTTCTCCGGCCATCTCATATGGACGGATATATAGACTGTAGCTGCCACAATAATCACTCAACGCATTTTGGCACAGGCGATCAAATTACACATCGCCTCGGTGTTTGCCGTGCCTAGCCTCCCTTCCCGACCTGACTCGTTGGCAAATCAGGCCACCTTATCACCAAAGGAGTCATAACGACCTCTCTATCCGCGGTTTTCGAAATAAAAATACAAAATGAAAAGCATTCTTGCTAATTTATGCAACCATGTACCATTCCCGACATAAATTTACCATCTTTGAACCAATGGTCAGAATTACACGACTCCAGGTGGAATTTCTTAGATCAAAGGTAGACCTGTCTTTTGCCATCAAAGATAGTCCCAAAGCGACCCAATGATATATGCGTCAAATTATGATGTCATTGCATTTTGATTTCAAAACGTTTGTAAAATGAATGATTTTTGGTTTGGTATGGTAAAGGTATCACAACAAGGTGTTTAACAAGGACCGAGCGATGGCGGATGCTGACACAAGCGGGAGTGAACAGCCCGGGCACCTGGCCATTCCGTGTGTGTCACTCGAGAAGCGCATCGCCACGCCAAATCGAAAACAAAACCTCTCGAGACCGACTCGGAAACCGACCATGGACTTTTTGTATGATGACACGGTCTGTTATAGTTAATCAGATTAAAGTTTCAGGAAACACGCGGTAAGAAGGAAATTTATATACGTGAAAGTGTCTACTCTGGCGACCGGAAGCTGTCGTTACGAATAACGGTACATGCGCATTTATCAAGGTCCTCCCAGCTCAGTTCGCTTTAAATGAAAACATGGCAGAGGTAGTCACCAGGTGGGGGAGAAGAAAACAGAAGAACCCAAGGCGAAAAAACGGTAGGTGAACATTTTGATAATATGATGGTGCTTGTATAAATATGTGGCAGTGTCTGCGTTAATTTATATCGCGGTTTCAGGGCGGTCTTTGGATAATTTCTTTAACGACTAACACCTTCCCGGCACCTGCGGTCCGTCATTGATCGAAGTGCCAGCCTCTCTTAGAACCAGATCTTCTTAAATTATGAAGAAAATGTAATTAAACAGAGTTTAGTGGGATATTCTTTCGAATTATGACAGATTTTAACACAAAGGACACTGATTATGAATCTAGGTAAGAAAAGGTGTGACGTTCTACATATGGCTTCGTTGGGCGTGTAGACTGTCTCTGATGGCGAATATGGGACCGACATCGGTCGTGGAAGATATGGCGGAGAAACATGGTCATGGTCATAAGACCCACTAGTTATCATTTAGTATTTATTATGTGCAGGTGTAAGGATTTCCAAACTAGCCCTCCAAGACAAATATATTTATGTCCGGGGGCGAGTGACGGATGATGTGGTGTGGCGGTCGGGCGCTGAGCCATTTTCCTGTTGGCGACCTATATCCACATACATTCCGATACCTACGGTGGAGTTTATATTCATAATGAGGACATATTGTGTGGTCTGTTTCCTGGGATGCCAGGCAAAAGAGATGCGTTTGATCTTTGTCTTGTCACTGCCTTGTATTTTTTCAATTTATCCATTCATGTCATTGGACTTGAAGAAAACCATATGCTGGCAAGTGGTTTCAAGTTACCGTCGCCCTGAATTTCTTTGTACCGGTGTAGTTGTTTGTTTACGTGCAAATATTTAAAATTATTTGACAAGTCACCTTTACTGTTTAAATGCTTGTTTATAGTTTATTGTTTACTGTTTATTATGCTACACTGTGCTATAGTATATCTTCACTGGAATGAAAACATGAGACAGTATGGAGGCAAATTGAATTTTGTCTTAGGACGTGGCAGGTGCTCACAGTTTGAACTTGGTGCAACATTGTTGCTCTATTGACATTTTATTTCCAAACATTATTTTGTTAAATGTTTTCTTCTATTTTTCTTGAAATCAAAAAATGAAGTTTGAATGAAAGCATTTTATTAGCATGTCATTTGATTTACATCTGACATTTTAACATTTTCATTCATACCCAATGTTTCCTTTGAAGTCATCTCAACTTCTCTTTTAAAGTAAACTTTGATGGATGATTTGATATCATGATAATTCATCTCAGTATCTCAATTATCACTAATTACCTACTGTAGCAAGCACAGCATATTAAGTCAATTATCTACCTCCATATATTCCACTCCCACCAACAAGGATACAGTTCCCAGTTAACCTAGGCGCGTCACTTATGTCAAGCGGGGGAACACTTCTCTCTGTTAGGTCACCTCAATCTCAGGAGTATGCAAGCGTCCTGTGCTCTCATTGGTTATATTACAAACGTCCTGATCTCTGATTGGACACTTCTTGTTCTGTGAGACAGAGGAGTCACCAAATAGCTGATTTCTGTCAATTTTGCACTGTCTTGGAACTGCACAAAGCTTCTGGACCAGTAGCAATGAAATGGGGCCTAGTGTTTTAGATAAGGGAGTAGAATTGACGGAGATACACAAAGTGGGATAATGAGACTCATTGATCATTCTGGGAGATTACTGGGTTGGAGTTGGGAATGCCTCAGTGTAACAAATATTTGTTGTTCTGTAAGGAATTAGTCATAGGCCTTCACAAAGGTAATCATGCCAAGGGCTTTTGTGTCCCACTGTCCAAAAGAAGAGACAACCCTGTACACAATATTCACATCTTAAAACGAGGACACTCTAAATAACAACATTTGCAAAGATTTTAAAATATCATATCATATTTGACAAAAAATTAAGAAATTTCTATCCATTCTTTTCATTTACAATAAAATATTCTCAACTAAAGTTAATTCTGACAATCAATTAATATGTTAACATGTAGATTTTTAAACACAATTTTAAGAGCTATTTCGTGTCACATGTACGTAAGTCAATGTGTCAAAAACATTAAATCACCGGAAACCTATTCAATGCAAGTATTCAGTTAATAAGAATTTAGATGTTACTTAAAGCTTTGTATTTTAATAACAAATACATTATAAGCCTTGTAAAATCTATTATACAATACTTGCTTCGTATGGCTAACAGATATGAGACAGGAAGTGTCACTAGAAAAAGTGTTTGTAATCTTCTTAGTGTAAACACAGTTGATCTTCTTAATTAAGACATGATTATTGTCCAAACATCCCATCACTTTGCTGGACGGGTGTATTGTCCCCTTAACCTGTCAATTTCACACCTTGTAAACACCTTAATAGGCTTACAGTCAAGCACTGCACACACCTGTATGCGTAAGCTGATTGGCTCAGCTCACCTGGATTACCTGATTTGATTGGCTGTCTGGGGATGGTACTTTCTCCTGATTGGATCTCATGCTTCAGTGGTTGTATTGTTATATATTACCTATCTGCTGTCAACATAATGAGTATTGCAGTATTTAATTGTAAAGGGTTCTGATTGCTATCTTTGTTTTATTGTCACTCATTCTCAGGCAAGGAAAGACACCATGGGCAATGAATCAGGTATGTGATTGATGATTTTAGTGGTGTTTTTTGTATTACTGTTATTAATACTAATAGATGGCATATTAAAAGGTGAGATTGATTATACAGAATGGTGTCTACATATACCTCATTTTAAGGCCATGGTCACATGAAATTAATTTCATTTCCTTGTCAGAACATTTTGGTTAGACGTATGAAACCACTAATTCATAATTCGTTCCTGGAAAAAATAATTTTCAGAGCATCTGTCTAATTTTTGATAATTCTTTCAAATGAATTTTTAACAGTAGCTAATACTCTAATATAAGATGCAATGAAATTTACAGTGTTATCCCCAAGTTATTTTGAAGAAAAAGGTTCGGCAGATATTTTTTAGGAAAATCAAAGACGAGATCTTTGTTTGGTGTTTCTTCCTGGCGAAGAAAAACCGACAATAACAATGTTGGTCCACTGAGCAATGCCATCTCAATATTCAATTACATTTAGTCAAAATATTGGTGGTTGTATCTCAGAGATGGCCTGATACCAGTCATGATGCTTGGCCTTATTGATTCCCTGGCAAAAACACTTGCCTGACATTGTGCTTTGTTGTAATTTAAAATAACATGGGAAACACTTCAGATATTTGGACACTTGCCAACATGCATATTTATTCACTCTGATAGTGCATAATAATGGCGCTGTAGGTAGGAGATGGAATGGATTATTCCAAGTTGGTATGGCTGACATTAACATGAAATAGTTGCCAGTGATCAGGCTATTCCTTGCTTGGTATTTATTGATTGAGAGTAAACATGTCACATTGGAAGTAGTTGTGTGGATGCTTGTATCTAAATACCTTCGGAATACACTCTTCATTGGGTGCATAGATGACGCCATTGACAAAGTGTTACTGGAGCATGCTTAATGAAAACAAGCTTTTTCTTTTTATTATTATTATTTATCGATACTTCCCAGGGTTTTAAATGGGTGGCCCATAGTCTGACTGATGAAAACCTGATGGACAAGTTGTTATTTCCCTAATGCTAGTTACATTGTATTAACTGGTACTGAAAACAAGATTTTTTATTTTTTATTATTTATACATATTTTACAGGGTTCTTAATGGATGGCCACTAGTCTGAGCCTTGTGAAAATGATGAAGGACTAGTCTCCAAAAAGCTAGTTATATTACATTAATGTTACAAAAGCTAGTTATATTAAATTAATGTTACAAAAGCTAGTTTTATTACATTATCTTGTCCAGCTTCGGATTGCTTGGATGTGCAACAATGGTGATGATAATTCCTGTTTTGGGTTTAGTTTTTGTGCAACTGTTTCCAACATTGTTTTATCACAAAAGTCTCTAAGGAGAGAAAGAATGTCATGTAGGAGTATGTCAACTTGAAGATTAACTAGACACTATAGACTATCAAGGAGAAATGACACAAACAAAGCTTCACTATTAAGAGCATGTGTTTCAGAACACTTAATTTCCTTGTGTTTGTTTAATCATAGATAAATGTGAAGGGACTTTTGTTAAATACTCATAAATATTAAAGCCAAAATTTAGTCACAATAATTTGCAAGGATTAGTCTTGATGCTCATTTGTGGAGTTTGATGGTGGAAATTATTAATTCATGAAGGTGGGACAGACCAGCCTGCTCCTCAATGGCGGTAATCACACCTTCGTGGTAAAACCATGGAAGCAAATATTAATTATTGAATTCAGAAAGAATTTACATCACTCCTCCCTCTTCCATCCCGAGCACACATTTGAAACAATTACCTTGGAATCAAAATAACTGGCTTTGGTATGAGGGATATGGGTGGTGAGCTGACAGTATTGCTATGATTGTTGGCGGAATTGCAGTGTTATAATTATAACTATTGAGACCCTTATCGCAGGTGGCATTAGACTCTCTACCAGACATGCCCTGAACAAAGCATGAAAAGCTTCATTGGTCGTCTTTGATCGGTCAGAATGCGAGGATTATTTCATCCTGAATGTGCTTTTCCTTCTCTGGTAATTCCAAAGTTAAATACTTTGTTCCCAGATTCAGAAGTTAAAGATTACAATACATGTATTGTTAATTCGGCTATTGTACAGAGGAAGACAGCGAGGCTCTTGTTGGAGCCGACTCGTCTTTGTTGGATCTCATCTTGGCTATGAAAAGATGAACTCCTGGTTGGAGATGAATACCCAGTTTTAATATGCTATCCCATACACTGATTTCGACTGTTGTACTGTTAGCTTGACCCTTGACCCTGCCCGTATAACCAACACTTAACAGTTAAAGCTAAAGCAGTAATCACAGGTCTGGTTGCTGCTGCTGCTGCCTTCAACAGGGATGTAGATTGTTTGTTGCTCTGTTCTTGTCAGCTCTTGTTTACGCTCAACAAGGATGTTATGTGTTGTGAGGATATTTATTTTTGTTGTGATCTG